TTTGGTTTTAGGACAACTTTGATGAAAGGTTTTGATCCACTTCAAATGTTGACTACTATAGTATATATTTATATATAAATATATTACTTGTTTTACATTAATGTATTTTACAACAATACAAAAAGCAATGTGTAGGCCTACCAGATTTAGCCCTACACTTATTCACTTTTATTTGTTACCCACTAAATTTTTTTTTTTAAAGTTTAGGATTTTATAAAATTATTGTGCACTCATGATTTTTCTAGAGTAAATTTTGCTACTCAATTATCCATTAACCTAGATTATAATAGTATTTTTGTCATAGATTTAGATTATATTTTTTTGTTTGTTATTTTTTTTTATAATGAAGCTGTCTATATTTAGTAGATTGTGCGTAACATACAAAAGAGTGATGATCGACCTACACATCGAGGTATAGAAATTCTACACTCATTTAAAAAAACTGCGCTGGTATCGGATCGATATCGGTATCGGCAGATACTTAGAATTTTTGGTATCGGATCGGTATTGGTTCTGAAAAAGTGGTATCGAGCCATCCCTACTGCTTCAGTGTACAACTGTTGGCGTAAGCTACATTAAAGTGATTATTACGTTTTGAATATGGATATTTTTCTTACAAAAACGCATCGATTCGCTACAGGAGGCCTTTGTTCACCCCCCGGAGCCATGTGAGACACTTTTTTTTATGGATGGGTGCTTTTTATTTCACTTCTTTTGGACTGATGCACTGCAACACCCGCTGAGTGGGTTTGTCTGAAAGAAGAAAGTCATATACACCTAGGATGACTTGAGGGTGAGTAATTTATGAACTAATTTTCATTTTTGGGTGAACTAACCCTTTAACTGTATGAACGAAAACAGTTGAAGCACTCTTCCTAAATATCTTACTTTGTGTTCTGCACAAATATTTTTATGAATTTTTATTTTTTGGGTGGACTTTCCCTTTAAGAGTCAACAATGGTAGATGGACAAGTGTTTGGGAAACTTGTTAGGAAACACCATTAATTATACAATTCTATTTGGTGCTGCTAGTAGCACAGAAATTCACCTTTAAAGGTTAAAATGTTCATCTGTTCATTTTTATAATACCATCAAATCTTTTTTCTATTTTAGAAGGGTTTCCACATAAGAACTAGACCATTAGCATTTACAAGAACACGCTGAGCCCTACATTTGCATAATAAGCTCAAAACACTGTTATGAAAAACATTTTCAAAATAGACATGCTTTAGTGACGTGTGGTAGGTTCTTTACAAATTAACAATCATCTTACGATGAACGGGACAGAAATGGAAGTTGTGTAGAGGAATGAAAAATAAACAATTTGCAACCTTGCACACTTATTGGGCTCTGTTATAACTGTGCAAATAAGAAACTCTACTGAGAAAAAAGAATGTGATTCTAAATGGTGAACACAATCATTCCTCACGAACCTCAAATGCAATTTATTTGAAGCCATTCACTGTCTTCGTTACAGTTTGGCATCAAAAAACTTGCACATACATACATACATACACATGAGCACGCGTACACAAAGCAACATTAAAAAAGTATGGATCCATAACACTCATAAAGAGAGGACAGAAGGAGAGAGATATCAAAAGTTTAGATGGCTGTAAGAGTGCCTGGCTTTACTCAATGCAGGCTACAAATGTGCAATACAGCTTCTTTGTGTTCAGCTGAGTGTGTGTTGATTCTGTAACCAGTGAAGGCAGAGTGACAGTTACATTAATGAATATGAACACAACCCCCCCCAGCACAGTCCTCTCACTGATTACAGCTTTAACAAGCTCCCTCCACCATCTGTTAGACTCACACGCTCCTAGATCTGGGAGAATTCCACCGGACACCGAATGTGTGTGAGCGAGGAAGGCAGTGCACTTTATTAAAATAGCACTGCAGGCTGGTACATTTCTGAATGACAAAGCTTTAAGACAGTCACAGCGATTATAGGGCTGACCTTGTGTTTCTCTGCAGAATGACCTCAGGTGTGTGTTTTTCTCCTGTTGATGGCAGCTGATCTGTTCTGTTACTTTAAAAAGCTTTGAGATACTAATTAAAATTCTTCTCCGCTGCCTGCAGTCTACAACGCATCTTTTCTCCATCTCCTCCACAGAACTTTGGGTTCTGTACAGTAAGCTCAAGCGAAGGACAGTACGCCACGTAATCATCCCCAGACATTAATCATCAGTTATTGAAATGCCAAATGAAAGGGGGGAGAATAGATTCGAGCGTGTGTGTGTTGGCAAATTGTTCATTTGGCAACACAAAACCACAGCGCACAAATCACACCACAAATGTTCAGCACAATACAACACAAAACAATGCCATGATGCAACACAGGTTTCATAACCTAACAAGATCGCCTCGTTTTCTTGGGACACATGAGGAGATAAAGACTTTCAGACCCCAAGTAATTGAACTGATCAAGACACACGTGTAGCTGGTAGAGAACACTGATACGGCAGCAGGTGTTCTCTCAGAGAGCAGCTCTCACCTGCCGCTCACTCAGCGCTGTGATCTTGGCCTGCAGGTCACGGAGCTGCAGCTTCAGATCTGCATTCTGTACAAAGAACACACACACTCCTCCCTGATACACTAGTCCAGCGGACGATATATGAGAGCGTATCGATCAAACAGTAACGGAAATGTTCAGTGAGGGAGACGCACCTGTGGATCTTGCTTCATCTGGCTCACGAGTTTCTGCATGGAAGAGAGAGAAAGTTTTAGCATTCTCATGAGTAGAAATAACATGCCGATGCAGAGGACAGTGAGGGTACTACAGCCGCAACAATTACACACTCCTTCCATATGGTGTGCGGGGAGGATACCTGATGGATCTGGATTTCCACTTTGAGTGCTTCCTGTAAATTTTGCAGTTCCATCATCGATCTCTTCCTCCCAAAACCCAACACAGCTGCCTGGTGAATAAGAGGAAGAGAGCAGATATTATTTCATTAATTGTGATGTTATTGAATGACTACGAATAAAAAAGAAATAAGAGAGCTTTTTGAGGTCTCAAAGTGTGTATGACTATGCCATGACAGATCTGTTAGTGTTCTAGTGCAAGTGTGCAGAAATCTGCTCAGTGTGAGTAGGATATATCAGTGTACTGATTCAATCAGAACTACTCTCATCAAATCCTGCCTGAACACCATGAATCAAACTGAACAGCACACTTTTGCACATACACATTCCTGTTCTTTTCCCTCTGTTACTCTTCTTTGGGGGGAAATGATGCTGATGCTGATGCTGATGCTGATGCATGCATTAACCATTTCCATCTCTCCCAGCCTCTGAGAGTCCGTTGTAAAGAAACCTCTTCAGAACTGTTTCTACGCTAATGTTTTGAATAATAATTACACTGTGTAGTCCAGAAAAACATTTAAATTAATTAGCTAGCCAATGAAACACCATAAAGTTGACTATCACAGTTGTGTCAGAATGTGTGCACCCCCCTTAGGACAATGGTTTATTCTATACCTTCCCAACGTCTGCCGTCTTGAACACCATCCAACTGGCAGAGTGGGGGGGTGGAGCTGGAATAGACAAGAGAGGATGGTAAGGAGCACACACATTTACACACAGCAGCGCTCTGGCGAGTGGCAAATCTACATCAGAACAACATAGAAAGTGGAAGCTTTGTAGAAAAAAAGATTTGGGCTGCATGCAAAGGTTGCTGATTCAATCTCAAATTTAGAGGACACAGAAACTGGAGGCTTACTGGAAAAGAAAACAATGCTTCTTTATTTGCTGAAGTTACTTAAAGGGGTCATATGATGCTATTTTAAAGATCATTATTTTGTGTATTTGGTATAACAGAATATGTTGACATGCTTTAATGTTCAAAAAACATTATTTTTCAAATACTGTACATTATTGTAGGTCCTCTATGCCCCGCTCTCTCAAACGTGTCATTTTCTACAAAGCCCCTCCTTCCGACAAGCGCAGTCTGCTCTGATTGGCCAGCTGACCCAGTGCATTGTGATTGGCCGAACACCACAAGCACGCGTCGGAAATATAACGCCCCTTTCCATAATCGCAAGCTTCAGCTTTCAACATAAATGTAAAGACAGTACATAATGTCCTTAGTTTTACCATCAGTTCAAGCCCGAAAGGGGAACAGAGTCGCGTGACAGACACA